GTAACTAGGCTCGGATAGCCGATACTGATCTAGTAGCATATTGTCTCTGAAAATTGCATGTCAATCTATTTGGTATACAACGATATAGCACATACTTTGTGTTTTGTTCTTGATAACAACAAAAACATAAACATTTTGTGACTTTTTTACGTTACTCAAATGACAAATTGCTTTCACCCATGTGTTCAAGAAGTTCACAAATAAGAAGTATGGATTGCATTTTTGTTTCAAAATAATAATGACAGATATTCCATTTTGAACTGCAGAACATCAATCATTGCAGACGGTACATACCTAGTGTAATAATTAATCTAATTTCATTGTGGGACATTTTTACGAACATGGGAGGAGGCAATTTTCAATCGATGTAACGTAAATGAGGTCAAAAAAATGTATTGTTAATGTTGTTATTAATGAACAAAATACAAAGTACCGATGTGCTATCGTTCATTCCCGAAATAGGATGATTGGCAATTTTCAATGACAATATACAGGGAGTCCATTAAATGAAAATTGAGGAGTTGCTACCAGGTGGCTGTCCAATCTTATACACTTTTTTTTGAGTCATAAAGAAAGTTCTCTGATGTCATTTGAAGCATTTTCATTATTTTTTGTTCATCTTGTCGAGTAAGCAAGTTTTTGCCGGTACCTTTACGATAACTTGGGACACCCAGTATTAACATGAAATGGGAGTCATTAATCTATGATAATAATAATTGTATACTAGATACTAGATTTTCTTACTGATTATTTCAAATTTTGCAGTGAATTAATGATAATTAATTATCTGCTCTGACGAAAAAGACAAAAATGTTCTAATTCAGGTGGGATCGAGAATCAAATATCTACCTCAAATTCGTGGGTAGATATCGGACGACCTTTTTTTTTTAAAGGATACCCGGCCAACTCCTCGGAGATTTTTTCAAGTGATAAAGTTTACTTGATCAATGTCTTGCTATAGAATAATATATAATTAAAGCTCATTACGTTGATCTAACTCTAAGTTTGGTAACTCAATCTTTTTCGCTGAAATAAATATCCAGTAAATTTAACTCCACCCCAAACAATATAGCTGGCGCTAGTTAGACTTCGCCGACAGGAGCCTGCTGATAACCAATGACTTCTCAAACATTGAACACCTTACCATATTAGTGGCGATCATGTGGCGATTGATGCAAATATCGCTATTAAAGGCCTCGTTATAAGGTGATGTGCACGGATTCTTGAACAATTCATAGTTGCTAGCACTTGAAGAGTTCGCTATTTGTAATTGATGCGAATTTCCCAAAGTTCTCTTCACAAGGCGATGCGTGCGAAAATCTTAAACAGCTCGTAGTCGCGAGCACTTAAAGACCTCGACAGAAGCAATTGATACGAATCTCCCAATGTCCTCGTCACAAAGCAATGTATGCGAATTTCTCAAACAGCTCATGATTGCGAGCACTTTCAGTTATCGCCAGTGGCGATGGAAGCGTATATCTCAAAGTGCGCGCCTGAGGGCATTGTATGAGAATTTCTGCGTGCGATATCTTCAAGACCTCGCTGAGCTCAGCCTAGGTGGCGGACATTTGGCATAGATATAGCACTCTCGGCGATCTCTCAAAGAAGTCACAAAAGGCATCACAATTTCCTAAAAGGATTTCTTCAAGATATCTTTAGGACCTCTTTGTGCTGGCTGGGTATCTTATATCAAATTATCATTCGAATTGAATATTAAATGGACCACAAACAATTCTTTTCTGAATTTCATACCTATAGAAACCACTCAATTTTTTATTGATCATTTTCAATATTCTACAATGTCCAAAGCACTCCATGATGACATTGTATACCTACTGTTTTAAACTCCAAAGGTTTTCTAGTTATAAAGGTTTTCTTATAAAAACGCTATAAGAATTAGGAGAATTTGAATTGCATATTGAAAGGTTGATAAATCGACTCGAAGAAAGTCATGGACGTATAAACAAAGAAGGACCCATTTATTTACATCTTAATGTGAAGTCAGAGAATACGGTCACGGTATATCACCTGATGTTGAATTGGAGGTTGTCACGTCCTGTCGCTGATAATTCCTAACCTCAGTCTAATCCCCTCAAGTATTTGTACTTTCCTCTTTTGTAATCATCTATTCAATTAGATGTTCATTATGATCCAATTCATAGAACTCAAGGAATAAATCATATGTCCATAGATAGTCACAATCAAATATTAAAAAACTGTCGTTATACATCATTTCGAAGTTATTCTGTAAAGGTTACCGAGATTATACACAACCGACAACTCCGCTGCGAAACAGGCTCGTTTCGTGATGTCTCGTGCTTTCGGCGTTGTTCGTTCATGTTCATGTGTTTGAGGAAGTTTATTGTTTTCGTTGTTTTTGAGTGAATCTTCTTATTTTTTTTGTGAAAAGTTGATAGACATAGACTAATAATGGTGTTACACTGCTGGATTTGCGAAAAAACAAAGTTTTAATACCCAAATTTCACCTTCCATTCGTAAGTACCATTTGTTTACATGTTCGAATTAGAGTTCCATAGGCGTAACAATTGATATTTTCATCCAATAGAGAATGCGAAGTCTCGATGTATTTCTTCATATATGTTTATATCCATCTTTTTACTTACATAATTCATCTGAGAACATTCCTTTTCAATGCTTTTCTCGAGGCTTTTCTGTTAAGAGGAAATTGTACTATGATATAAAGCAATAATGCAAGGGTTTCGTAGTCCCTAACTTTTCACGGTCATTTTCCATTTTGAGAGGATGAAACAAAATTTACATATTCATGAAGATCTTATAAATGTTTCTGCCGTCTTACTTCTTCGAAATTTGATTCGGTTCTTAAGAAAAAAAATTTGAAAATCATCAAAAAACACGTTATTTTGCGATTTTTTTAAAGAAAAAACTGAATCAAATTTCGAAAAAGTGAGACGACAGGAACATAGACTAGATATTCACAAATATGTACTGATTTTTTCATTCACTCAAAATGAAAAATGAACATAAAAAGTTAGGGATTACGAAACCCTTGCATGGCAACAATTTATGTCCAGAGAGTGGTGCCGCTCTCAGAATTTATAGGAATTACCATTTATGAAAGGACATGAAAGATACATGCCTTATTTGCACTGTTTACGAGGGTCTGGCATGTGTAAAAAATTTAAATTTCATAATTTCAGTGGGATATCATATCATCATTATTTCATATCATTTCAGACTGCTCCAATATACGTAGAAATTCAAGAATATAAGGCAATTTTACGGCGAGGTTCCCAAAATTAACAATCAATAATAAAATTAAAAACATATAAATAATAATTGTGAATAAGTATATATACAGTGTCATTCATAAAGTCGGCATCATATGGGAAAAACTTTTATTATTGACTTATTTTGGAATTCGAGTTGGACGTTGAGTTTTGCTTCAAAAAAGATGAAAAATGGCCTACTCAATTGGGGTCACGTGACTTCCGCTACATGTCAAAAGTGAAATTTTTTTGAATTAATTGCTGAAAGTAGGCTTATTTATTCGAATATCGAAGAAGTTTACTTGAAAAAGTTGTTCCTACTGGTATGAAGTAGTTTTATAGAATTTACAATTTTTTTAATATTACAGAAATTTCGAAAATTTTTAAAAAACATCGAAATCTGAAAGATGTAAAAGAAAGATAAAATCCGAGTCACATATGTAAAATTCAAATAGAAACAAATTTTTCAAGTAAACTCTTTCGATATTCGAACAAATAAGCCTACTTTCAGCGATTAATTTGAAAAAATGTCACTTTTGACATGTAGCGAAAGTCACGTGACCCCGATTGAGTAGGCCATTTTTCATCTTTTATGAAGCAAAACTTGAAGTCCAACTCGAATTTCAAAATAAGTCATTAATAAAAGTTTTTCCCATATGATGCCGACTTTATGAATGACACTGTATATATAAATAATTATGCGAATTTGATTAAATGCCCAGTACACTATATATGAATTATATACCTGATGTCTCATTTCCTAATGAGACAATTTTTCTCTTGTGAAAATTTGATATTGTTAAATATTCATTGACCAATGTACATTTGTTTCTTATCCTCACTACAAGGTCCACTTCGTAAGGTTTTTTTCCAGTTGGTATAACCCGAGGTATAACCCATAGCGACCCGGATTGATAAACGGTCATATTGTGATTGGTATTCAGTTTTTAGTCGCTCTTTGCATTTTGGATTCCCAAATTTACTATCACTATAATTCATTTTCGCACGCCGCTGTCGTTTGATGAAATAGCACAGTCTATCGTTACCGTTTCCCTTCCCCTCAACCCGCTTGCCTACATCTCTAAGACTTCAAAACATTATATGCTGAAAGTATAGAGTTGCTGTGTCCTTCTTTTTTAAATGACCACTTCTCCTTAGAGCAAGATCCATAAGTTTTACCAACCTTGTGTAATCCCATCTTAGATCCATAATATAGCGCTATCTTAAGCGCTACCTATCAGTCAACGATAAAACTAAAACTTCGTATCACAAGGGATTACTGAGATATATGGATTACAGATTACAGTGACTCTGTTGAAAGGATACGGGATGCGCACAACATTCTCAAGGCTGTTGAAATTCGGTTGAAGGTCACGTCAATCATCACGTTGTCACGTGCACGTGGCGCAAATGACTGTCGGTGTCGCATATCGGATATCGCATAATCGCATATTTGATTGGGGTGTATGGTCACGTATGGTGTAGGTGAAAAACAAATTTGTTTTCGTACTATCTGTCTTTTCCACAGTTCCATTAGCTTTTAGATCTGCTCTACGACTTTTTCTACACTATCCTATCATATTTACACTGATAAAAATAACATTTCAATTCTTTCGAAAATACCGGCCAGAGGTTATTACAAGCAGGCGGGTTACCGAATCTGTTCACTGTTGTTCATTTGTTTGATCCAACTGATCCAACTATCCTAGAAATCAAGTTGCTCATTTGTTCAGTTCTTAGGGAGTTCTGAAAATGTCTCTCAAGCAATCAGTGAGTCTTTTACAGTGCAAAAATGGCGTAAACTCCATCAAGCAAAGAGCCAGGTATGAAATTTTCAACTATAAAATATGGAACATTTGAAAACAAATCAATTCTTTTCCAGTTCATGGTGGTCAGGGGTACAAATGGGCCCCCCTGATGCAATCTTAGGAGTAACAGAGGCTTTCAAACGTGATACCAATCCTAACAAAATCAACCTGGGAGTGGGAGCTTACAGGGATGACAATGGAAAACCCTATATCCTCTCATGTGTCCGTAAAGCAGAAGCCCAGATTAAAGAGAACAACTTGGATAAAGAGTATGCCCCTATTGCTGGTATTGCTGAGTTCTGTAAGCGCAGTATTGAATTAGCTCTAGGTGAAGGATCAGATGTCCTGGTGAATGGTTTGAATGCTACAGTCCAAGGTATTTCTGGAACAGGGTCATTGAGGATAGGAGGGGCTTTCCTCAATGGGTTCTTCCCAGGGAATAAGACAATTTATTTACCAAGTCCTTCTTGGGGAAACCATACACCTATTTTCAAACACTCTGGGTTAGAGGTCAAGTCTTACAGGTACTATGATCCTAAGACTTGTGGGTTGGATTTCCAAGGGGCTCTAGATGATATTTCGGTTAGTAATCATAAAAATGGAATCACCCTAAAATGGATATTGTACTGAAAATAGATTTTAGTTGATGGATATAGGTATCTGTGCCAAATACCATGTGTGGAGCATAAATATTTTTTGCTATATAGGTACCTGGTATGAAAATAATACATTGGTACCTATTGATTCACCAATGTAGGTACATACTTCTGTAGAAATTAGGGTTTCAGGAGTAAAATTAATAATTTTTCATTACCAAGTGGCTAGCCTACATTCTGATTATTTTCTTTACAAAAACTGTTTTGGAATATTGAAATAAATAAAATGCCTTTGACCATATTTGATATACAATCTATACATATAAAATTCATAAAATATTATTTACTGAGTGGGAGAAAAATGATCACAAACACATGATATTTGACACTACTTTTGTATTACCAGTTTAGGTGTGATAAAAGACAGAATAATATTATAAATCATACTCCCATTTTTTTTTCAAAATCTAATTTTTCTTTCCTGTTGGGGTTTTTTCAGTTGATTCCAGAAAAATCTATAATTCTGTTACATGCTTGTGCTCACAATCCTACTGGTGTTGATCCAACCAAGGAACAATGGCTGGAATTGTCAAATGTGATAAAAAAGAAAAATCTTTTTGTCTTTTTTGATATGGCCTATCAAGGTTTTGCCACAGGCAGTGTAGATAATGATGCCTTTGCTGTAAGTTGATTTCTGGATATAAATTTGAGAAAAGATTTTCAACAAGCCTTCAGTATAATCATGTAAAAAAAATTGAAGAACTCAAATAATTGGATATTCTTCATTTCATATTTATATAGAAAATATTTTTTCAGGTCAGACATTTTGTTAAAGAAGGTCACCGCATTGCCCTAGCTCAAAGTTTTGCAAAAAACATGGGTTTGTATGGTGAAAGAGCTGGTGCTTTCTCCATCATAGCAAATGACAAACAAGAAGCAGACAAGGTGATGTCACAAATCAAGATCCTCATCAGACCATTGTATTCAAACCCTCCTATCAATGGAGCCAGAATTGTGGCACAAATTTTGAGTGACCCCAATTTGAGAAATGAATGGTAAGATTACCTGTTGTGGTTTGAAATTCATGGGTTCATGTGAACCCTTGAAAAACACTCAAAACTCTGGCTAAGAAGGCTTGTTTTATGTTGGTTTGTATAAACCATAGTAATTTGTACAGTCTGAAATTCAATTGATGGTGAAAAATATAGGATATACAGTTCCCCAGCTCATTTTTGAGAAGAAAAGTTAATATGGACATATGTCCTAAATCTATTAACTCAAGTTAGTGGTAGTTTGTGGGTAAGATGTGTTTTTGTCTGATTGCTATTCAAGTAAAGTCAACAGTATTGAAGTTATGATGAGAAAATGAATTTCATCTTGAAATTTCAACAATATAGGTGGAAAGTTAACAGGTTTAGGGTATATGATCATATGAACTTTTTTCTTGAAATGAGCTAAAAGGAACCATATACTATATTTTTAGCCATCAATTAAGTTACACCCTGTATATGCTTACATTATTTATTGATGTGAGTGGATTATTTATCACTGGAAATTATTCCAGTCTTATATTTATCAAGAATATTTATGAAATAAACCATACTTAACTCATGTTTACAAATCTGAATTATCACACAATGTGATATCAACAAAGAGATAATTTAGTAAAATTTCGAATTATTCATGTTATTCATTTCCGTAGACTTTTTGGGATTTTCTGTCATTTCAATAAATAAAAACATGAGTATTATTTCAATATTGGTGTAGTCAGGACAAATCATATGTTTTTCCCAAAATTGTCACTGCTTTAAAAAATTCCACTATAAGAGAGTGTAGACAATAGCCGATTTATAATAGTTATTCATGTATCAAGTGCATAAAGTAGGCGTTTATGGCCTGTGGCGTGAATAATGGCCCGATGGCGATAGCCGAGGACCATTAAACGCTGAAGGCCATAAACGCATTCCACGCACGTGATACATACAAAATTTTATGCACTAGTGGTTTATTTTCTGACTCAAGAGTAATGACTATAGATTTCGATAAACTTATGTTCCCCCCGAATTTAATTTGTTACCTATAAATTCAATAATCGAGAGAAGCGTAATGTTCATGGATGATATAATATTCATACATATGAAAATAATCGCAATTACCGTAATAGTGAAACTATTTGATCTCTGGAAGAAATTCATTCTTCAGAATTTTACAATATGCATACCCAGTATATATACCTACCTAATTTTGACGTTGTCAAGCAAGCTGATAGTTGTTGTCTATAGCAATACAAAGAAGTTTATGATATACAACTGGATTTATTAGAATCTAGGAAAATGATCATAGGTTTCTCATAAATTCATATGTGGATATAAGGAAACTAAGAACAGCGGACGGTGAAGTGCACTTTACGGCCCGTGGGCCATAATGAGCCCGCGGGCGGTAAAGTGCAACTTAACGCCCGCAAAACCGGGCGGTAAAGTGCCTTTTACGGCCCGCTTGTGCATTAACGTATTCATTATATTATCTACAGTTTTTAATCTGTCACCAACAATGACTGACATAACAATAATGAATTATCCGTCATCACCTAGCTCACTATCTCGATCCACTAAAGTTTATACAGGGAACTCCTACATTATTCCCCCCTTGAAAAACAAATGAAGATCATTCGATTCTTCATCAACGTCAACTAGTTAATGAAAAAGATGCAAGAATAATTCCTCTGTGAGTCTATGGTATCTTCGCACTCATTCTCAATGAAGGCAGGTTTGAGCCGATCAACAGAAATATTTTTCTCCTTTCCATTCACGTAAAGTGTCTAATATTTGTAGTTTCTATGCAGAACTTTCTAAGGTCCAGAGTATGGGCGTTGGAGAGGTTTTTTAACAGAATCAACTCACTTAGCTTTGATTTGAAATGAAGACTAAGGAGAAAAACAACTAGAACACTTTTGAAATTGAGTGAGTTTATCCCTCACTGTTTATTTATTTATATTTAATTAGGTTACCTGAAGTGAAAGGTATGGCTGACAGAATCATCTCTGTGCGAACTCAATTGAGGGAGAACTTGAAAAAAGAAGGTTCTTCACACAACTGGGAACATATCACCAATCAAATTGGAATGTTCTGTTTCACTGGAATGAAGCCAGACCAAGTATGTATAACATTTACACTATTAAGGAACAGATTCATATTCAGAGTAAATCTTTATAGTAGGATGCAAATTTCAGAAATGATATATATGTCCTGTACCAATCATTATTTTGAGCAAAATGAGAGAAAAATTACACTTACCTGTGCCACCCCTCAGTCTGAGCCAAATCCACGGCTCAGCGATTTATTTGCTGCTATCTAATATACAGGGTGAGTCATTGAAATGGGAAAGTGAGAAAACGCCTTTGTTGTTTGAGATAGATGAACAAAAATTGTTGTGATGATCTAGGCTCATGAGCAGCACATTTCCAAAATATTTCGGTTTATACAGGGTGACTTAAAAATGCGTGACGTATCAAAGTTATACTTTTTCTTATGGGACACCCTTTATTTCATTGCATTTTCGGATTTTCCTTTGTGAGCTGATTTCATCAAGGGTGTGCAAAATCGAGATATTTCAACTTTAGTATTTTTTTGGGTCGAAACTATTCATTATTGGTCAAAACGGCATACATGTCCATATCTTAACTTTTGATTTACTATCTACTGATATTTAATTCGAACGAATATAGGGTGGTTCATAATTCTGAATTATGAACTTTTCGGGGTTGGAGATTATGGTTCGTTCGTCAAAATTTGGAAATTCAGAATGACGGATCCAATATGGCGGACGAGTTTTGTAATTATGGTCAGATTCCATTCAAAATTGGTATCTGGGGGTTTTCGAGGTCGGAGATTATGATTTCTTCATCAAAATTAGGAAATTCGAAATGGCGGACGAGTTTTGTAATTATGGTCAAATTCCATTCAAAATTGGTATCTGGTGGTTTTCGAGGTCAGAGATGATGATTTTTCATCAAAATTAGGAAATTCAAAATGGCAGATCCAATATGGCGGACGAGTTTTGTAATTATGATCCGATTCTATTCAAAATCTGTATCTGGGAGTTTTCGGGGTCGGAGATTATGATTTTATTCTTTGAAATTGGGAAATTCAAGATGGCGGATCCAATATGGTGAAAGAGCTTTGTAATAGTTGTTTGAAAAACTATAATGAAACACGCTTTCATGGATATTTAAACTAAAAAAAAAGTTCAAAACAAAATAATAAGAGTGTGTGGATGAACATTTAACTAAAAAAATAATTTCTATAAGGAAATGTAAATATATAGCAAAACAACGTGTGCCAGGTATCAACTATTGTAATATATAGTAGTTTGAATAACTAATGAAACACGTTTTTATAGACAGCCAAACTAAAAAGAAGTGAGTAGTAAATAAATTAAAAAATGAAGAGATATAGTGTCGAACTAAAAAGAAGTAGAGAATAAGTAAAATAGTTTGAAAAACTAAAGAATCCCGTTTTCATGGATAGACTACTAAAAAGAAGTATAAATAAAATGAAAGTTCTTTGATAAATATTTATGTTGAAACATTTTTTCTAGAAATAATGTTATGGCAAAACAACGTTTGCCGGGTCAGCTAGTTATTCCGTACATACTTCCGTCATGTGATAACCAGTTGAAACAAAAAGCAAATGAAAGTGGAATACGTTCATTTTGCGAATATCCAAACGTGCCGCGATTCAAGCTGATCTAAGTTAGTGGCAGAGCGTCGATATTTCCGTGAATATTTCGCCATCGCCGCAAGATAATATCCGATGAACCAGTGTGACACACATGGTGGTGCTCACACTACAAGTATTCTGATCCACATGTTGAGTTTTACACTGGTCCATCGGATATTATCTTTAGAGGGGGCGAAATATTCTCGGAAGTATTGACGCTCTGCCACTAACTCAAATCAGTTTGAATCCCGGCACGTTTGGACAATATCCCCTTTCATTTGCTTCTTGTTTCAACTTGGTATCACTTGACGAAAGTATGTCCGAAATCATAGCAGCAAATAATAATAATAATAATATATGCTTTATTGTCTGAAGAAGAATCTTGTTGACAAAGCTAGGTCACATAATATTGTAAAAAGAGGTTAAAATATAACACATAAAAATACGTGACAATATAGTCAAAATAAATACCACATTAAAATACTAAAATATCACAACTCAAACGTATCACTATAATATTCCTGCAAACTGTAATAGGGTCTATCAGAGAGGAACTTTTTGACTTTCTTCCTGAATTGACAGTCATTCAGACTTGCTGATCTAATATCAACTGCCAAGTGGTTGTACATTTTTCCACCATTATAGTATATGGAATCATTGGAATCTTTAATAAACTCTCTTGTGGGTAGAGGAAGTTTCAAACTGAAATTTCTGTTACGTGTGTTATGATGGATGGGAGTTGTAGTGAATTTTAACTTGTGCGTTTTCATCAGAGGCAAACAGATTCCAGAATGAATAGTGCAATCACTGTCACTATTGTATTATTGGAAAATAAAATTCTGCAAGAATCTCGAGGTTTGACATTACATAAATACCTTATCGCTCGTTTCTGTAAAATTAACAGAGTTTTTAAAGACACACTCCCCAAAAAGGTATTCCATATCGTAATCAGGAATCTATTAGTGAATAATATATACCATGAATCGCTGTCCCGTGGATTTGGCTCAGGCAGAGGGCTGTTACAAGTAGGTTTTTGAAATCTACCACTAAATTGGTATCGGATGACATAATTCTTATCTCGTTATCAAATCGCGAAATCGAGTGCAACATTTCCGCACAGGAAAGTGCAATTTTTCAATCATTTTGCTCAGAATAGTGATTGGCACAGGTGCCGTTTGATAATCATTTCCTTATCAGAGGATGGTCGAAAGTTGCAGGCGGCTCTTGGACAATTATTATCATTTATATTTCACATTCCTCTATTGGAAAAACGACACATAATGTTTGAGTAATCTACCATCAATATTGTTGGATATTCATAAAATATTGGTGTGTTGATTTCAAAAATAGGTTGAATAACAAGCAAGCAATATTAGGAAACAAATAACAATTAAGTATTAAGATTATCTTTTCCGTTTATAGATGTTATGTTAGTGGCTTGAATAATGAAATCGTCTTATTAATTTGATCAATATTTACTTTACTGATTCCTATTAGTGAACAAACTAGGCCTTGGAATTTGTCGTCATTTCTAATCAGATTTGTTGCATCATCGCAAAAACAGGCTTGCCTATTATGGATGCAGTATCCCAAATTATAGTATTTTCATTATTTTAGGTTGAAAAATTGACCAAAGAACATAGTGTGTATTTAACAAAAGATGGGCGCATCTCCATGGCCGGTGTAACGTCCAAAAATGTTGAATACCTCGCTCATGCTATGCACCAAGCTACAAAATAAGTTTTATCCCTACCAAGCTTAAGTATTTTGAAGTGTGTCGTCCCTGCCAGTACTGCATTTTTGATTGAAAATTTTAAATCTATTCATTATATTTTATCTGATTATGTTATCTTTATATATGTACCATATTGATTATATTATATTCATTGCTTGAAGAATGTTGAATAAAAAAGTTATTTCAATGTCTGCTTGTTTACCATTTATTGGTGAGTCTACTACCAAAAATTGAATATCGATTTAGGTCAGATTTCAAAAATCAGAATGGTCCCTGGTGGCTGGTGGCAAACAAGTTTGTAATTTTTCGTCCGATTTGACAGGAAAATGGCTTTTGGTTAAATTCCTTGAATTTTTGGTATGATGTAGATTTTGACTCCCTAAGCAAAAGTGTCCATGGGCACAAAGAAATCGAATGACTAGTTTTCGAGATACAGGGTGTCAAAGATGAAAAGTGAAGCTTTCTGCTCCGATTTACTCATGAAATAACATGCCTGAATGATGGTACTATGTCATCTGGATCTGGTATCCATTATAATTTTACGATTTGGGCTCTACAACAGGGTGAACAAAGAAAAATACAATTCGATTAATTTTGAACCAACCAGGGTAAGTTCTTTCATGAGAATTGAACATCCATCCAGCCTGGACGAACTTCCCCAATATCGATCGAAGTTTACTGACATTTTTTTTTCATATACAGGGTGGTTCGAAAATAGGGGTACGTCAATCCCTAGTTTTTTTAATCGGAAAGAGAGCATGTCGAGCAGACGTTCTTTAATGTTGAGAACGTCGCATACTCATTTCATATATATAGGGTGAGTAAAAAGATACAGTCCAAGTTTCTTGAAAAAATGCTGTTTTTTTCAATGAATACCCTGTATTTCGAAAAAGAATCGGTTAATTTTCTTGAATTCTCTATATAATGTACGATTTTAGGAGTCCGAGATATCGTCATCAATATTAGCATAGGTCTCCGGACTCGTTTGTCGGCTATATACTCTTGAATGTACGGATTTTATTGATACTCGATATATTCCATTGGAGTTCGAAATGGGCTATTTTCCAACAATTCATGTTGAAAAATCTTCGGACTAGATTAGTGCGGTACCTATTCCAAAAATGCAATACCTTATATATAGGGTGAATGAATCGTTTTTCTTTTGAAAGCCCTGTTTCCGAAGAAACTAGAAAAAATTTAAATGTATCAGAGGCAATAACCTCTCGAGGTTGGAACTAATTCTACAGTATTTGAAATCTATCTATATATAATATAACCCTCCAGGGGTAGCTGAAATCAACCCCAACATGTTTTTTCAAACCCTAAAAATGGCGTAACACCAAAGGCATATAAACCTCATTTTGTAGCTATATCAATATTATATCATTGAATATATTTCCATGAAATTAATATTGGAATTTGAAGCTTTAACAAACACTTGAAATGTCTTCTCGTCTTTGGGCAACTCAAATATAAATGGTAACATCATTCTTAGAGTTTTTGCAATTCGTTACCGAACAAGACTCGAAAACTTGCAGGGACGTCTATTCAATTTAAATCTGAGAATGATGACCATTCGGAAATGTCAATCAAATTTCGATTCTTAGTGATATATGGCATTTTCACCAGTTTGCAATAACACTTCATTTCAAACTGTGAATTCAGCATAAAAACTAAATTACCCTGGAATACAATATCAGATAGCAGTTGTGGCAAAAAATTGCCAACAATAGTTCAACAGAAGAAAATGTTATGTTGAAAATAAATGAAATTTTAATTTTATTCAACTCTCAAACCTACGAAAAAATAAAGTTTTACCAATATGCTGGATTCCTCTTTCCACCAGCTTTCCAATGAGGGGTCACAAGAGATAGGGTTGCATTTGAAAAAAACATGTTCAGCTACCCCTGAAGGGATAATTCTCGATAATGCTTGCAAAAGGTAGGTGAATACATTAAACATTAAATCATAGGCTTGTTGGCTAGCGCGAATTCATTGTAGTTAATGTATCCATACACTGTTTGATCAAAATCGTGTGCACACATACAAGACCAGCATGAAATAAAAATTAAAATAATCTATATACCACGTTTTATAAACGTACTAAAATATCAGGTAATGAGAATTATCATGAATCATTTATCAATTTCATTATCCAGGATACTGTATTTACATAAATGAATGAAAACCTGCCTATTTAAATAAGAAAAATATATTACGATTAAAATTAACAAAATATCTATTTTTTCAAATACTTGAACCTTCCTGACCTATCCTTGGGTTTTGGAGGCTCTACCTCTTCTTTAGGTTTGTGGTTTTCGTGGATTATTGAATGAAGAGCTTGGGCATCTGTACTGTTTCCAAGAATGTCTTTCAATTCATCCTAAATAAAAGTCAATAAGAATTATGTTGACTATTTTTGTCAAGTTTCACACCTCTGATTTTTCTATAACTGCATCCATGCTTCCACCTTTCCTCAACAAGTTATCTATGTTTTTGGAGGTTATTCCAGGTAATTTTTGCACAAAGTCATAAATATTTGAATTGTACTTTGACTGGACTATATCCATATCTTGTTCCCCTCCAATTGCGGCAGCATATTCTACATTCGGATCTTCTTTACCCATCTCAAAAAGTTGATACCATGTTCAAAGTGAATTTTAAATCCATTATTTGCAAAAGGTAAATAGTTATGGCAATTTCTATGTACTTACTTTTAATTCCTCAAACAACTGAGCTGTAGCATATGGACTTGGACTCCAAATTACTTTCAGTTTGGGAAAATGCATAGTCAAAAGTAACAGTTTCTGCTGTATATCAAAATTGTCCTAAAAAATATAAAATCAAATAGAAGAAAACAGAGCTATTTTTCTCACCTGCCACCCAAATTGTTTATTCTGATCGAATTCTATCAACAGCATGGGTTTAGAATAATACCGAGACATGTTGGTACACTGTTGGTATAATCTTCCAGATTTCAGAGATCCAATTAAATCTGATAAACTTTTTCTTTCCACACATATGTCTGGTGTCAGAATATAATCCCCGATCTAAAAGTAACAAAATGATCTTCATCTCCTATCCTCTGTCCTGAAAATTTTTCGGACTTTTTTTAGATTCATCTACACATATATATATAAACAAGAATATTTTCTTAGCAATTTACCGGAGTCGTTTTTCTCAACTTTCCAGACCTTGCATTTCCGAAAATTTCCGTGGGAAAACTTAGAAAACTAATCCAACGATAGGAACACGTCATGGTCAGATATCAGTACAAGTGTCAGCGTCAATTAGTAAAATCCGCCATTCCCTGAAATGCCTAGTCATTTCACGTATTGTCGGCAAACAGCGTAACTTCTATTTTCAGAATATTGAGAGAACAGAAGAGACTACTGCTTCTAAACAACCTCAGCTGAGTCAGCCTAATGGGGGAGACCACTGATTTTTTAAAATGACATTATCGTGAACTCTATACTGAAAAACTACCAGCGAATTAATTTTGAATTTTGTCATTCATGCTAAGACGATGGAAAAAATAAATTAGAATATGTCCATTTCAAAACACAAAATTCCTGCGCCATTTGGAATTTTGTCAATTCATTGGTGTGACTGGTGCGACGTCTTATTCCCAACACGCCTATTGTCCTTGAACTGACCAATCACACTGCAACACTGCAGAATGACGAGGTATCAGAGAGAGATAGCTACAGTTCGGGACTAATACGTCACGACTTCACCATCATATTTGGCTGTTTGAAATATTGAATGAAATATGCTGATTTCAAAACGATAAAGATTCGATTCCCTTCAACTTTAACTCATTATATTGATTGTACATCAAACGTAAATCATGATTCGTCGATTGAAAGAGGTTTGCACGGATTTCTTCTCTCAGTGGTCTTCCCCATTGTCATTAACGGGAATGCCTGAAACTATTAGGCAAACGGTGTACAAAATTTAGAGTTACGGTGTACAAAATTTAGAGTTACGTTGTTTGCCTGCAATACGTGAAATGACTATAGGCATTCCAGAGAATGACGGATTTCACTGATAGACGCCGACATATGGATATTTTCCTTTATTGCACTCAAAGCACTTTATACCGAGTCAACCCGTAAACACAGGATGTGAGGATCAAGGAAGATTTCTGTTGTATTTTATTCATTCTAACTGATGCCATATTTTATGCACTGCAGGGAATATAAGATAACTTTTGATCCCTCATATGAGGAATTAGTGTGACACTTCTAATGCCCCCAGGGACTGAAAGTAAATACTGGATTTTTTCTCAAACGCCATAGCAACTTTCAAGGCAAATCACTTTTTCAAGTCAACAACAATATGATAACCACCCATCAGTCAGCATTTATTTATTTATTTATTTTCTTAATTATTTTATTTATATTTCCTCCACTCCTGAAGGGCATAAAATAGGAAATAAATAAGGGGACCAAATCTTTTTAATCCCTCGGCGAATCAGGATTAAAAGTGCCCCTCAAGTACCTGGGTTTATAATCTACTATTATAGTTTTCAACATACAGTTACTGTTAGAGGCTCCACATCTATTCCTCTTTTGTGTATCAGAGCGGGCAATTGACTTCTGAATTCTCTGGTATCAACTACAATCAACTGTTTTTTCGGAACATGATCTTTTCCCCCCTCTCTCGTGTTTTTCTTAGGACTTTGCAGGTCTCTATGCAAGGCCGAGCATTGATCCGATTTACCATCTTGATCTTCAGGAATCACCATGGTCTATCAAAATAGAAATTAAAAAGAAATAACAATGGAATATTCAATATTCACAACTTCCTTACTGATTTTGTTTGTATGAGAAATTCAAATGCTTCCTTTTCTCTCCTAAGTGTCGTTAGATAGCTTTGTTCTTCAACAGTGTCAGCATGTAATAAGAAATAAACCTGCATAGGAATTGATTTATCTCTATGTGCCTCATACATCTGTAAATAATATGCATCAATATTTCTTCATTCAATAACATATAACTATTTCACCTCAATTTCTCTAACTGCTTTCATGCTACAATGGAACATTATTATGAAATTGGGTTTGACATTTTCCAAAGTATTTTGTAAATTGATAAATTCATCAGAACCTTTGAAAGTTTGGATGAGGACTTTTGGTTCACTAATTTGTTGGCAAGCTTGAGTCAAATTCATATTTTCCATCTGAAAAGAATTCAAGTTGTACAGGGCTTGTCAAAAAAATACCCCTCCCATACACTCAATTATTTAGAGTTGAAAGACAATTTCAAATAACCCAAAAAGTATAGGTTATCAATATTTTTTACTTAAGGGCTATATAACTATGCTCTATAGTTTGATGAAATAAATACTTGTGTGAATGGTTCGAATGTGAATGTTGACTCATCAAGATTAGAATCATCTTTGGAAACATTGCAGATTGTTTGACTCATGGTCAAGAGATAACTGTTTTGAAAATCCTCCAGCATATCACTATCATCATCTTCTTTTTTTGATTCACTCTCTGTGCTTCCTTGGCTTTCTTCTGATTTTGCTGCTGTTTTTAACTTTTTATTTCTAGTAGTCGCTACTTTTTTCTCGGCCGGTATTTCAATACGTTCAGGAATTTTGTCATTTACCCTGAATGTCTTGCTAATAGTTTTTATAGGGACTTTATTTTTCAGTGCTTTCATGAATAAATAGAAATGTGGACCATTTGTGAGAACCTTAAAAAGTTTAATATTATCTCCAGTTAGTGAACTATGTATCCTGAAACTTTACTTCTTTCAATTGATGACAAGTTTTGTAATCACTACAAAGAATCAATATAGTATTTTCTTTGATTCCAGCTTTCTTTACTTGTGTTGGTACTTCTACTCTGAGTATTTCAAGCAGTGGTTCCCATTTTGGGCAGAAATCAGGATGAAACTCTAGAAACAATAACTTGCATTTTTTTCAATCAATTGAATAGAGCTAACTTCTTTGTGATACCAAACAAATATTCACCTTTATTGTTGTTGAAAATAAATGAATTCACTTGGGTAAAAAGTAATTCAGCTGGTGAAAGTAGAACCCAAGTAGCAGTTTGAGCATATTCCATAGTACGGTATTGACTTATGAGTGAATAAAAAGTGACAGCATCTGAGTGTAACATAACTCTAAAACAAACGAGAAAAAAAAACGGTTGAACATACTTTTCATAAGGGTGATTCGCCTAACTGATCAAGTACTACACTGTTTTACCACTAACCAAACCGATTTTTTAAACGCCTCGACACGTGTTTCGCTAACTATGTTAGCATCTTCAGGAGTAGATTAAAACTAAATATCCTATTCTAGTGTGCTGCTTATATACTAGGTATATGTTCACCCAACCGTGAAAAATACTAACCGTCAAGTTAATGTTTGTGGTGGTTGAGTTCACATGTTAATCTTAATTTTTATATTACTAAACTATATAGAGGGCTACATGGATTAGGTCCATTATCCTTATTCATTACTCTACTGCTATTCTTAAATATCTCTTAGCTTTCATATGCGTATAATTTTCTAATATTATTAACTTGCTTAACTAATTTGAGGTTAGTAATATGTGTGTTATGATTGTGATTGAACATATGTTCGGCTATACAAGATTTATCTAACCTGTCATATTTCAAATGGGCTGTGTTCTTTGAACCTTGTTTTTATTGGTCGCCTGGTTTGGCCTATGTATGTTTTATCACAATCATTACAACTTATTTCGTATATTCCCGACTTTTCAAGTGTGTTCACTTCATCTTTCGGATTGCCTAATAAATTGCCTAACACGAAGAACGAAGCAACGTTGCCAAAGTTCATAAAAATATCAAGATAACCCTGTATATCTTGATATTTTTATGAACTTTTCCCAGTCCAGTAGAATTTCGATATCAATTCGATTACCGTTATACAGGGCGTTCACCAGTAAATGATATAGATCCGGTTAAAAAAATTTTATATTCTCATTCAATTCGGCATCGAAAATGAAGCTAACTTTGAATAAGGGTATTATCTATGCCTACACTCAACAGTTTTCGAAATATTGGCGAATTAACATGCCTCAGTTCCAGAAAATCTTGAGTTAACTTATTCTTAGTTGGCCATTTCGCCCGCAGTTGCGTTGGAATGTTGGAAACAATCAACTGCCACGGAAATGCCATTGTAATGAATCATGACGGCTCTTTTGAATTATTCGAATGAAGATTACTTAAATCTATTCATTATTTTTAATTAATTCGCCAATATTTCGAAAACGGATCATTTTCTGGTGACCGCCCTGTATAACTGTAATCGAATTGATATCGAAATTCTACTGAACTGGGCCCTCTTCTACGAATAAATCGATACACAATCGAGAATAAATGATCATGTCCAGAAATAAAAAAAAAAATTCGGTCTGCAAACGCAATTTTCAACTTAAAATTTGAAATATTTCGAAAACGGTTAGACTTGGGTATAGGACATTATACATGAAACATGTTCAGAATCAAGCGTAAAATCTAAAACCTTGATAATATACAGGGTGACCCATTTAAAATAACAAAGTTGGGGTCCACTTCCGGTACAACCGGAAGTGCCACAATCTTCAAAATATCTTAGCCGGATAGCACTTATCAACAATAGTAAACTCCCAAATTTTCAAATTTGGCCCACCTATGATTTTCAATACATTGATCGATGCAGTTCCCGGAGGGACATCCTGTATAACCAATAAAGTTTGATAGTGACTAGAAAGTGTGTTTTTTAGATATCTGATAAATCACATTGAAGAAGTTCTGAATTGTCGGATTTCATCACTGAAAAAAATATATATTTCAATGAAAACGAAAATCTGTAGCTAAGTGATCAAGAAAATATAAAACTGGTACCATCTGGTACACAGTAGTATCTACCCGATTGAAAACGGTCAAAAATCACTTGAATTATTAAAAGGAATACCAAAAGCAACACCTACTTAAAAGCAACTGCTGGTTTCCAACACAATGGTCTGAAGATGAGGACTTTCAGATAGCAGACATAGGAATACTACTACCACATAAAAAAATTGTATATCTTAAAAACAAATGAAGATAGAAAAACTATTCAGAATGATAATATGCTCCTGAGTTTTAGATAGAATTAAAGAATTCAATCATATCCAAAATGTTCCAATTGAAAAAACCTCAGAAAAAACAATGTAAATGTCTGGTTCAACAGAAAGTGAAATATTTTACAGCTGCAACCAAAATTGCAAGGTGATGTTCCTTTTAGTTTTCTATGAACCTCTAATGAAGCCTCAAATGAAGTAGTATTGAACAATATCATTGTACTCATTTCCACATTGGATAAAAAATGTCAGAATTCAAGAAATTGGATTTTGAAATTGCATTATTCTAGTATCCTATAAAAACTCACATCATTATGTGCCTCAGAATTTTGAGATCAGCAACTAACTGAAGACTCCTTCTACTCAGCTGATTCCATATGACATCAAGTTGTGCTTGTAAAATCTTGTGAAACTTTTTAGTTAAACAGTTTTCCACAGTTATTTCCTGAGGAAAATAATATTTGAGATTCTTCCTGATTATAAAAACATTATTATTGAAAAATCAAAATATTTTTTACTGATTGAATAAATATTGTACCTGTACATTGACTAATCAATGATTATTGAATGAATATAAGTAATTATAATTATTTACCTGTAATTCAACATTCTTATTTATACGTTTCAGTTCTTTCACTGTGAGATTCATCAAATCTAGAAGGTGGGTCTGCATTTTCTTCATTTTTTCAGAAATTGGAATATGTAGCTCAATTACATTTGGCTGGAAAATCACTGTTACAAACATATTATAAAATGATTCTAACCTAGATTTCAACTCAATAACCTGAAACAAACCTGGTGTTTCTTGAAACTGGATGTTACAGCTGAATGAAATCTTGGCCATATGTACAACTCTTTCACAAATAATGCCCTCATGACCTTTTCTACATGACCATAGCCAACAGTGAAACTTTGTACATCATTGGAAAATCCTTTTACAAAACCTGTCTAAATAGAACATATTGTTCTATATTTCTAAACATTAGGGGAATATTAACTACCTTACTTTGTTACTTTGACGATATAATCTAATTACAAAAGCCTCTTGACAACTCTCTAATATGGTATGTGCTCTCAAAACAATAAATCCTGTTATTTTTTCTATGGGCAATCTTTTTTTCAACATGTCCACCACTAATATTCTAGTTGTTACAAAAATTATACCACCTGATAAATATATATCTAATCTACAAGAAAATAATATGGTTATTGCATTATATATAAATTAGGTACTTATATAAGATATACCTCTCTTTGATGTTTGTTTGGAATGTAACACTATGGACATTGGGATCATTCAATTTTTCCTTAAAATATTTTTCCTCATTTTCTGTTGCATTTAAGATGAGAACAAGGTTTCCTGGGTCACAGTAAACTTTGAATATGTTGAACAGCACCAAATCTAAGTTGATACCCCTAAAATTTGGATTTTTTTCAAGTCAAAAACTGAAAGTTTTCCTCTAAACTCACTTTGAGGCTAAGGTCAACCCATCATTGTGGATAACATCCAAAAATATTTGAGTTTCAAACTCTAGCATATATTGTAAATCAGTTTTTTCCACTAGCATATCAATACTATTGTTTTGTTCGGCCATCCTGTTCAATTTTTGTCAAAAATAAATAAAAATATTTTCTTCATAAATGTTTGGATTTGTTGTTTTGAATTTTGACTTTTAACTTACACCCTCGATCTATAAAGGTTAAAACGTAGTCTTCTCATTTTTGTGAACCAGACCAGATAGGCATAGATAAACTACAACTCTTTTCAGGGACTATAATCCTCTGACCTAGACCTAGATTTCATCAATTCATCCTTAAGAATGAATGATGGAAATAAGTGTTAAATAAAGAAAAAAGGAAGAAATGAACGTGACAGAGACATGTTTTTGTGTCAATGTCAAGCCCTTTGCCGCTAAAATGGTAAAACCTAAAACGAAATCTCTCAAGAAAAAGAAAACACTGAAAAATCAGTAATTTCGGTTTCGTATTCGATATTGGTAGTTTTCAATTTTGATTTTTCGAAAATGGATAGAGAAAAGCTGTTGAACTTTTGTAATTATATTATTAAACTGAAGGAGAAACTCCAATGTACTATATGGTTGGTATTGTTATCTGTGGTATTGTTATCTATACTTGTGTATTGTTATGTATCATTTTGGGATTTTTCAGTCTTGACATTATAAATGATATTGCTGAACTAGACTGTGGACATAAATTTTGTTCAGGATGTTTTGAAGAATACAAATCCAATCACAAGGTTATCACCTGTCCATGCTGTAAATCTGTTATCAAAAGAAGATCAATTCTATACAGGGACCAGTATTTGAACAAACTTGGGGCATTTGTTTCAAGTGTGTGTAATATTTTGAGAGAAACATATCATTGTGAAGGTAATTAAAAAGTGAATAAACCACATGAGGTTACTTCCCTCCTTCCTAACTGGAATATTAATAATTTCAATTTGATCACTAGGCTGGACTATTTTTTTTTGTTTTTCATAAAACCATTATTTTATTTATGTTGCTTTGAATATATTGTAATTTCATATTTGAAATGAATTTTCATTTTCAGTTGAGGAAATAATCCACCAACAATCTGCCAAGAATACAGTTTCTAAAAGCAAAACAAGAAAATCAAAAGATTTATTTATACAAAAATGTGAGAAACCATCTACAGCTAAAACATACAAGAGAGATGAGACATGTAGTTCAAAACCATGTTCACAAGAAGATGCTTTTGACTTGCTCATGAGAAAAACAGAACCAAAAGCAAATAAAATTGATAAGCTGATGGTAAACAAAAATGGAACAAGGCATATGTATAAGAAAAAAAGAGAAAAAGAGCCTGAATCAAAATATAGAATATTAGATTTTGATGATGATGCAAACAGAGCAGCAGTGTTACAATGGCTAACTGATACCAGAAACAAATTTGATAGATTAACTCAGACACAGAACTTTGAAGATCCTGATGAAAGTATCCAATTCTTTGACCTGACTTCAGTATCTCAAGTTAAGCAGAGTTATTGTATTCCTGAACCATTGATGAAGGTAAAGCAAAGAAACCGTGCCAAGTCATTAGATATTGAAGTTAAGAAGGTTCCTGAAGTTAAGAAAAGATACTCTGATGGTAGTGTTATTGATTTGACAGAAAACTACAACATTGAGGAAATAAACACTGAGGAAGAGAAAGTTGTGAAAAAAGTTGAACAAAATGTGCTAATGCATTTTATTGAAGACCAATACTTGGATAAATTAGAAAATGAGCTAATGAAAGAAACAAACAAAAAATTGAAATCTAAAAGTTCTCCAAAGGAGGAGTGTAGTTCTTCTGGATGGGACAGAATTGGAAAAATTGCAAAAACAATAAGGAAAAAGGATAAGATCCCAAAAAAATTGAATATCACTATACATTCATCACAAACTTCAAATAAAAGCAAAGAGAATAGCAGCAATATGAATGAAACCAAATCTGTAAGTAAAGAAACAAAACGTTTACTGAAAGTTCAGATTGTGAGAATGAAGGATACTCAATCAAGAGTAAAATTAGCAAAACAAAGTGAAAAAAAATCAAAAAATTTGTTGCAGCCAAGGTTACAGCCTCTTGGTCTTCAGAGTACCAGAAATGAAGAAATTTCTCAAAAAACAATTCATGAAAATCCATCAGAAATAATTTCTATAGCTGAGGAGCCTAATACAGTAGAAAAGGTAAAACCTAAATAGTATAGGTATATAGGGACATTGAAACATATTGCTTCCTGTTCATATATTTATTCCAGGTGCAGAATAACTCTGAAGAAGCTACAAAAACATATGATCTTCATGATGTTGAACAATATATAACAAAGAACATGTTCTTGATAGAAAAAGACAAATCATCAGATAATACCTTGGGGTCCAATGAAAATGGTGAAGTAATATACCCAGACAAGAAAAAGGATGAAACACAAGTAAATACTGAAGCAGTAAAAGACAAAATAAAGATTCTTGAAGTTGTGGTATTGAGAGTAGATCAAGGAGTAGATCCCAGTATTGAAATGAATATGAATACAACTGAAGATCCTTTTATATTGCCAACTCAAAAATGGAACACTTCTGATGAAGTTACTTCATTTTCAAAAAAGAAAAATCATGTTCTGGAAAACTCTGCAAATGATACAGCATCAAAAACTATTGATGGTTTCCTGTTGCCAACTCAAAAATGGAATACATTGGATGATGAGCTAAAGTGTGGAGAAAATGCTAACAAAAAAGCTGATGCAGACAATCCATTTTTCATGCTCACCCAAGAAAATCCACTAAAAGATGAAATAATGCATCTGAAAAAAGATGATTTTAATATGGACACCAATATAATAGAGGATGAACATTTGAGCAATGTTGGTGATTTAATAGAAGCCTTACAGAATGACCTAGTGAAATGTTTTGAGAAGATAGATATCAATCAGACAGGGCTATCTGAACTGTTGGACAATATGAAGAAATATCTGAGTCATCTGAAAATTTTAACAAAAAATTCATCTCATGTGAAGGAATGTGTAGATAATTCTACACAAACTGTTTTGGAAATGCACAATAAACAATTTCAAACATTTCTGGAATGTTCTAACAAGGAAACTCAAACTGAACTAAAAATCTCACCAAAGGCAATAGAAATGTGTAATGCAGAAGTACAAACTTACCAAGATTATTATGAAGTATCAAGAAGGAGAAATGATAACATATCAGGAATTATAACTCAGAACACTAAAAATGCTTTGGAGAGTATTATAAGCGATCCTGAAATTCTTGAAGTATCTAATTCTAAAGAGACAATTTTCAAAAATGTACTGGAAGAAAATATTCTTATAGATCCTGAACTTCCTGACAAATCTACTTCTGAAAAACAAAACAATCAGGAAGAAAATAGGAAAAATGATGATTTCCCAGAAATTATGAGTCAGAACACCAAAAATGCTCTGGAAAGTATTATTATAGATCCTGAAATCCTTGAAGAACCTGCTACAAAAGAGCCAGTTTCTGAAAATGTACTGGAACATCTTCTAGTGGATCATGAAATTCCTGAAGAATCTACTTCTAAACAACAAGATGAAGAACTAGGAAAAAGTATTGATCCATCAGAAGTTATGACTCAGAAGACCAAGAATGCTTTTGAAAGTCTTACCAGCAGAGATTCTGCATCAGAGAAACCAGTTCTCAAAAAAAATCAAGCGGGAATGACTCAAAACCAAATATTCACCTGTTCCTTTGACAACCTGAATTTTGAAACACAGGAACTTCAGAAAAAAAATGTACAAAAAATTGTCTCTCAGAATAGAATACAATCTCAAAATAAGACAGTACCACTAGTGGAGGATGAGAAAGATACTTCTCAAAGTAGACCAGTCTCTGTTTTAGAATGTACTTTGAATTCAAATTCTTCCAGCAGAGTTAATAGGAAATTAATCTATACTGATGGGAATCACAGTAAATCCAAGAGGCCTCTATCAGACAGTGATTCTGAGGAGATCATATTACCAAAAAAGCGCTGCAATAGGTTTATTAGAGATGATTTGTCTATTGAATTTGATGTGAATACTGAGAATGTTGAGTCACAGAGAAGCAAAAACTCCAATATTTTGTCTGATGCTGCTGATGATGTTGATTATGAAGTAAGTAACCATGATATATGTTTATACCCAACTTTCTGGCATTCTGGTGTATCAGTCAGTTTTAGAATAGTTGAAATAATATCAAATAAATTTGGTAGGTAGTTGATGTAACTGTAAGTTGAACTTATTCAAATTATAATCAAAATTGAAAAAAAGTACTTGCATAGTGACAATAGGTCCATATTTCAGTTCCACAGCACTATATATAGTGATTGAAATATACTGCTAGTGGTGAAAATAATTATTTATTATACAAGGGGAAAATGTAGTAGTGTATTATACATGCCAATAATGGCAATAATATTAGATTTTGTCCCCCTTCACTAGGCGTCGGGAGACACCAAGACCTGGAGCTAAAATCTAATATTTTTTTCTTGTATAATGCACTATTTTTTCCTTTGGCAGGAAAAAGAACGAATTCATAGGATTTAAATCCCTCACAAACAGGTTATATGACTTCAAATCAGCTCATTTTGGCTGAAGCCTCGGGATATAATTTTTGTTCCCTGGTTAATACTGATATTCTTTTCTACCTTGGCAAATAACTATTATCAAAGCTCTGTGATGAAAATGAAGTATGCTTAAAAATGTTTGAAAATATCACATCCTGATCCAGAATTGTCTGAGAAATCCAAAACTGTTACAGTATTGATTGATTGTCTTTATTACCCCAAGAAACATAGTTGTTTATAATAGGGATACATAAACAATATACATAATGTTATACATACAATTATGAAATTATAATAAGATATAACAAGTAAAATTAAAAAAAAAATGCAAATAATCATGCAATATCAACCTTGTCTTTTATAAGTAGGTATTCAAATAAGAAATGGAATTATCAAAGTCTCTGAAGCAGATATTTTTTCAAGTTAATTTTGAATCTAGTTGCTTCCTGTATATTCCTCAATTGACTTGGTAATGAGTTGTATAGAACGATTCCTGTGTGAAAAATGGATTGTTTGCCGATATTTGACTTGAACGTATTTGCTATTAGTAAATTTGATTGTCTTGTTCCATGATTATGTAATGAATTGATTTCATTGAAATTTAAATTCGAAATTTTCAATTTATATAGGATAAATTGAATAAAACAACATATTTTAAGTTTATATAGTGAAGTCAGATCTAATAAATCTCTAGGTTTGTATAAATTCATGGTTGGTTCGAGAAAATTTAAATTGAAAATACACTTCAATGTTTTATTTTGTAATTTCATTAGTGGACTCAAACGTGAAATATTGGTACTTCCCCATATAGATATTAGGTATTGAAATTTTGAGTAAATAAGAGAGAAATAAATACTCTTCAAGTATCTAGTGGAAATGAAATTTCGTATTTTGAATAAAATGCCTGTAATAGGATTAAGTTTGTTTCTCAAATGATCTATATGTTTATTCCACAACAGGGTATTCCATGAAAAAACCCAGAACCGGAAGTGACCGGAAAGTGAAAAATATGCGAAAACTCCCCTCCTTACATACCATTTACCTATACCAAATCTCATTTGGATACACCTAACCCAACAACCCAATATTTATTTTTGTCTGCATCATTTATTTGATTTTATCAACATTTCGTTGTTGAATATTCATTTGTATACATATAAACCTTTTATGTTTTTTGGGATAGACGGATGAATGTTTCTGCGGTTTTCAGGGCTATCTAGATAAATTCATGAAGAAATATGATAGTGATGGTATCATCACTACCCCCAAAAAAGTAAATGAAACATCTACATCACATAAGCCAAAAGAAAATAAAACAGATAATGTATCTGTTGACGAGATGGATTGTGATGCCATTGTTGCCAAAGTCAATGAAAACGTACAAAGTCTCTTGAAATTTAATGATACCACAAAGTCTTCCTATCGTACTGCATCACAAAATTCAAAAAAAAGTTCGTCGAATCCACTGGAGCAATTTGACAAACAAATATTGAAAGAGAAGTCACAAAATTCAAATAAACATCTTGAGGAACTGGATGCACCATTATGCTCGGAAATGTTGAAGTATTTTGGAGAAAACGATTTGAAAGATTCAGAAATGTCTGACATCATTGGAGAAACTGAATCTGAGCGTATGGAACCAGTGCCTAAACGAGCGAAAAATGGAAATTTGAACTTGGCATTCAATATTGGAGAAGTTACTGATTTGATTTCTTGTACTCCAAAAAGAAAAGAAAATAAAAAGAAATCAACTCCTTGTGGTGATATTTGTTATGACTTGGATGACAGTCTAGATAATGCAGAATTTGTAAATATCAAAATCGATTCAGAAGAGAAACCAGTGAAGGAAGAGAAGAATAATGAAGATGACTTATTTTCAGATGATGACATTGTGGAAACTACTCCTCAGAAAGAGAAGTGTTCAACGGAAAAAAGGTGAGAACATAGTACATCAGTTTATAGAGAGGACCTCGAATAAATGTAGATTCTTTAGTCATTGTTGCAATTATTATCAATTTAGACAAGAAATCAGAATTTGATAATTAACATCCGTGAAAATTACATACTTCAACCTGACCACTCTGTGTATGTGACTATATTCCTAATGGTCGGTCATTCATTTTCTTAAAAATGGATGATAAAATTTTAAATGTCGACAACATTTTACTCATCAAATTGTTCAGTTGGAAACCAAGGTTTTTGACCGTGGACACAATTTCAATATTTTCACTATTGAATCTGTGGTTTATACCGTTGATGTCTATAGAACTATATTTATATTTCGTGGTGAAGACCATTGCTTTTGTTTTTGTTATGTTCAACTTTAATTTGTTGGTGCATAAACAATACACATTCACAGTTTCTAAGATCCTATTCATTTTATGAATAGCTCTATCTAGTATCATATGAGAGCGGGCGATTTTTAATTGTGAAATTTCCTCCTTTGATGGTCGATGGCTCAAAATTCGTTACCTTGAATTACACCACCGTATACATGGAGGAAGAGGTATCTTAGATTTCTTGATTTTTATTGAATAACTCGATGGAGTTTTGATTTAGGTATAGGGAAAGTTGAGTTTTCGGAAAATGTTTAATGTCCATATGGTACGAAATGTCACTAAATATATTTTTTTTTCAACTTCAATTTGAAAATCTCCTAATGTGCGGCCTACCTAAATCACCTTGCGTATGTTACGACATGTGACTAGAGATATTTTTTTTCCAACTTCAATTTGAAAATCTCCTAATGTGCGGCCTACCTAAATCACCTTTCGTATACCTTACGTTCATACGAATTTTTCATAATATCATTGTATATTTCCATTTTCATATTTCATATTTAATCGTAATCATAAATTGATGGGAAAATCTCAGGCATTCCTTTTTTTCATATGATAAAAAATGCCACCTTGTTTTTTGTTAGGCCAAATCATACCCCGGAATATTTTTCCGAAGACTTTGACTTTGATTTCGACGCTTTACCTCCACCGATCGGTTTCCAAGATGAACCAGCCCAAAAGGAGAAGGAAAACTCAATATCAGACGGCCAAATAACTGTCATAGATGTCGACACTACAATAAAAGAACTCAAACAGTCCTTGACGCCGGACGGACTATCTCAATTCCGTACAAAATGTGACGAAAAGGATTTGGACAGGTCCAAAGTGACGGTTGATCTTTTCAACAACAAAAAACCGATTCCTACGAGTACTCCATTATCTCAAAGACTAGAAACTCGACAAACCCTGGGCTTTTCACCTATAACAGGGGATAAGAGCCTTATCGAACAAGCCCAGTCTTCGAAAAACGCTCTTTCAAGTATTTCCATATCGTCGACCCCCCGTAAATCCACCATAATGACCAGCACCCCCAGGCAAAAGAGCATATGGAACTACGTGCGTTCGCAGCAGTCATCGGAGAAAGAGGTTGCGAGGCCCAAGCCTTGCATAGCATGTACGAGGCTGAGCAAGGAACAGATCCAGTCCATTTCGTTGCTGACCAATAAGAAGCTGGCTACGTACAGCAGCGTGTTCGATAAGACCGTCTCGCACATGATCGTCTCGGTCGACGACAAGAATCGCCTGAAGGATTACACGCTGAAGTTCGTCGCTGCTGTGGCCGCCGGCATTTGGGTGCTCAGGTTCGAATGGGTGCAGGAGTGTTTGCGGGGTAACTCCATCGTTCGAGAGGTGAGTGTTTATTTTTATTGGTGCGACTAGAGTTCCTAAATGTACTTGACACTGCTGTTTTGACGTTTTTTTGTATATCAGAGTACGGACACTATGACAAGCACTGACAATCAGACATAACCACAAATAAATTGATGGAAAAAGCGGGAACTGACAGTACACGGACTTACATGACATAAATTTCAAACGTTTGACAAATTGAGAGAATTAGGAAAAACGAAAACTCAAACACTAAAGAATTGTACAACTAAGAACGCCAATATTCGAATTTCAATCACAATCGCGCTGAAACCAATTTAAAAATTTGAAATTCGTAGCTATATTGATTTAACAAGTTTCGTATTATTTTTTCCCTGCGTCGGCATCAACGCCTATTGGTCGATTTCGTTACCTATAGAGACAGAAGTTGGTCCTGCTTTGAGGACAGCTATGCTTCATATATAGAAATAGTAGATATATGGTATTAGTAGATAAGACTTCAGACACAGCTGAACTTCTGTGCTTCTCTATTTTCTAAATTATAATGGTTGAGTGAATAACAGAATATAAGTCATATATTCTGCTCTTTGTCTTTTCAATTTCCCTAATAGGTCGCGTGCACCGTGACCGACCCTGGAGGTAAAATATTGAAACACAACCTCACTTTTTTATTTGTTTACAGAGGAATCAAAGGATTGAAATAGTTTTTCACAATATTTTGGCATACGAATCGTGTTTTTGCGCTATTCATTAATTCAAGCATGCCTTCCCATTGTGCTATTGTACAATGCACAAAAAATGCAGTGAGAGACGAAGGAATATGATTCTTCAGGTAAATAGTAATCTCACATAGTTTTATGTATAAAAATTTTGTCATTTATTATTGAAATTCCTTCTGTCACTTCTGCAATAGAAGCTAATACTGCTAATAGATTGACCATGCCTACAACACACGATCATATTTCGTCAGCATGTCAGACCAGTTCTCCCGTTAGATTGTATGAATCCAATCTTCTTGCATTCTTTTAGAAATTTCACGAGTATTTTTATTAGCTTCTATTGCAGAAGGAATGCCGACGAGAAATCACAAAAAATACCAAATTTCGAAATGAAAATGTGGGTGACTATAGTAGGTACTTACTTTTAAATCATAATGTACCAACCGGATTCCTTCGTCTCTCGCTGCATTTTTTGTGCACTCGACAAGCAGTGACAGTAACACATAACCACAAATAATTTTGAAGCAGATCAAATATTTTGCTGAACAAGGACATGAATATGATTTGCAAATACCTACTTATGATATACCTACTTATATAATAAATATTAAACTTGCTCGGCATGAAAAATGTTTTTGTATTTTATGAATAATGAAATTCACAAAAAAGAGTTGATCAATCTGATCATGATGCAAGATAAAAGGAGAGGGAATAGAAAACATACATATTTTTTAAAGACCACTAGATATCAAAATCATAGTTTTTCCATATGCGCCATAATATTGAATTTTCACGCTTTATCAGTTAGACCAAAAAACTCATTCTTTGATCGACGGTCATTCCAATAAATTTTTTGTAGGCAAGGACGCTTCGTAATTCATTTATTTCCTAGGAACCCTTTGAGGTTTTGGATGATATTGGTATGCCTGGCCCACAAGCATCAAGGTTATCCGGAAAGGAATGCCTTCTATTCAGAGGATTCAAATTTTTTTGCGCTGGCCCATTTCATTCTGCAAGTCAAGAGGATATAGAGGTACTATTTTATAATTTTTGTTCATTTCATCGTATTTTCTGCACATTCTTGCCCTTCAATCGGCACTCACTTTAGACTACATTTTACAAAACTCCTTATATTTTTGAAAAACCTTCATAATTCATTTTAACACATATTTTAGGAGGTGATCAAAATGCAAGGCGGTAAACTGGTATCTAGTTTAGATAAGTTAACGGAAAGAGATGGTAGGATTAGTCTTATAATCACTGAAGCGAAAGCCACCCAAGATTTTCAAGTGTACGAGAGTGAGTAAAACAATAAAAAATAAAGCACAACCATCTCTAGTTGGGAAGCCGAGGTGATATAATTGGCAACGCCGCATTGCGTTATCCGAATGTCGTACTCTTGACTAGCGACATATGTAGTTATTGAGGATGATATCGGATTTTTATCAGTTGACAGTTTACTGGATTTATAAAAGTTGAGGAAATTGCAGTTTTTCCTAACTGAGGGTTTTCCAGTAAAGTTCTGCAAATTGATCTATTTCACAATACTTCACAAAAACAAAACTTCAGTTAACTTTCGAAAACGAATTCATCTCGTAATATCATGTATATCCATATATCCATGTTCGGGCACAGTTGCCATTTCTGTTCACCACGACTTTGACTTTTGTGGAGAAACAGATATTTTTAATTTCTTTTTCAGATTGGTTGGAGTTGTATAGAACTGTTACAGTCGATATGGAATGGCTAAGCCGATCTGTGGGAAGGTATAAAATACTCAACATTCGTAAGTATGTCTGGTGTTCAGACGATAACTTGGAAGATTATGGTTATCCAGCCCATTTGGTCGAATCTTTAGATTCATCTTCCGAGCAATACTCTACTATGAGTGATAAATATTAAAATTGTGATCAATAATCTCAAGATTTTATTTTGTGTTACATGTTCATGTTTATATCAAAGTTATTGTTCTAGACCTAAGTGTTCATATTTTATATTTTTCTAAAAATACATCGAGTTCTCAGAATTTTTTCATTCCAGCTTCTTGAATTCCAGAGTAAAATGTTGTAAACCTGGTAGTGGTTTATCGTTTACTAGAAATTTTTGCATATCTACAGTCGCAGCGATTTCATAATTCAAAGACCTGCCTATTTTCATGGTATAAGGTGATGAAAAAATAGCAGATATAAGTTTTGGCCTTGGTTCTAGACTCAATTCCTCAGTACCATCCAACGGTACTTTAACATTTATTCCTTTGTACAATTTTGTAGCAAGTTCGGTCGAGACTTCGATCATTTTTTCTCCAATTCCTCTTCTTCTGAATTCTGGTAGAATTCCAAGTAAGTTCATTTCCAGTAAACAATCGACATTGCACCGCTCGAATAGATTGCATTGCTCTTCTGCGTACAATAAGATATCGCAGAGTAATTTCGACGCATCGAACGATGAAAAACTTTCGTTAATTGCCGCGTCCTCGTCACTGCCATACACCTACGAACAATAAAATTGTCTTGCAGAATACCGTAGTGATAAATGTTGACCATGTGTTGATTCCATCAGAATTGCTATATCAACTCTGAATCATCAACGAACCTTACAACTTTTATCATTATTGTATTGTTACTATTGATATTAATACTTGGTTGGAACAATTAGCTGACTATACAGGGTGTCTCAGGTTTAACTCGTTTAACTTTGAAAATCGATAGCAAACATCAAAATATTAGATACGTATTTTTTTGTTTTGTCGTGGAGAAACTAGTTTTAATTTTATGGGATGTTATAAAGTTCACATACATTTTTTATTTTTATTTTTTATCACAGTTGAAATGAAACCTAGTGATTTAAAATTAGGTGATCACTTTTTTATCGGCAATATGAACAGCCCTTATCAATAGAGGGGACTTAGCTACACTGGGTGTTATTCTTTTTCGAGCCTTCTGACATGGAACCCATCAGATTTTTTTATTGTGATGTTATGTAGTGGATCAAACCTAATGAAAAATCATTATCATTTCTTCGCCTCACTTTGTGTTTTTCATTTGTTTCAATATCTTTCTCAGTTCCGAGTTATGGAGCAAATCATATCAGGCGCATCCTCGGCCGCATCATACTCGATTGCCCGATTGGTATCATTGAACAATGTTATCATGGAGTGCTTTGGACATTGTTGAATATTGAAAATGATCAATAAAAAATGTAGTGGTTACTAGTTATGAAATTCTGAAATATAAATTGTTCGTGATCCATTCAATATTCAATTTGAATGATAATTTGATGTAAGATAAACATTCAGGTCAAAAAATATTTTTTCATGAAACTTGGTAGATATCTATTTCATAGGACGCCGATTCCAGTGGTGTACGCGGATTTTTTCTAGAAAAATCGCTAGTATGGATTCTGGATTTCACAGCCTCTGAATGTGATCTAGAGTAGATCTTGGTTTAAAAAAAATGGACGCCGCTTAGCTCCAAACTACACCTTGTCCTTCGCTATATTTTAACAAATTATGAATATCGCTCCATAGATAAAAAAGTTATGTGGTTCGCCTGCTTCAAATAGGTCACTCTGGACATACATATATACAGGGTGGCATTGAAATAAGTGCAAATATTTCAAACACTGAGAAAGCTCAACGTGTACTATCGAATGGCACTAATAAAAAAAATTAAGTGATCAAAATGAAATTTGAGGTTAGACCCCTTTTTCCACCCAAAGTTCTACACTGTAGCAAATCTGACGTCACCTCTGTTCAAATTTCCATGCGGTAGACACAATCACGCGGAGTTCATTCATTAAAATTGTTTTTAAGTGGCGTAATTGATTTTTTTCTCGTATTTTCAATTTTTGAGATGAAATTTCTCGTTAATTAGAAGAAAATCTGATATCATGGAAATATTCCTTAGACTTTTTCATATTGATGTGCTGAATATGTGCACTTCTTTCAAAAACACATTGTATATATCAACTACGGAATAGCCACAAGCCACAATGCTCAAAGTGGAATGAAATGTTAAGTGAATACGAAAAGCTCGAAGTCATTTCCACACAATGTTCCACTCCCGTATGGGAATCTCAGTTTTGGAGTGATTCTTTCCTTCGTTTCTACTCAGATGGCGTTGCTTTCATATCGTCTATGAAAGACGCCTCTGGGGGAATAAAATGCCGACTTGATTTTTGTTTGGCTAGACTACACTGGCTACCCTAAGTCGGCGGTCTAAGGACTGCTGGCTGGAGTCTGCCCTGCACTGATGAGAGTCAAAGAGCACGAAACCTGTATGTAGGTGTCTAGCGTGGCCTGGCTTGATCGAAATCAATAGGCATTCAGGAAAGAATCCTTGTATCAGTATTCGTTTATACGAGTCGATGCATAGATTTCGGGAGGATGTAATTCAATGTTCTGCGTGGCATTAGCCAGGAAAGTAGTTGTTTTTCTCCCGAAATCTACCATTGTTGTTCATTTTATGAACATTGTGTGGAAATGACTTTGAGCTTTTCGTATTTATTTCATACTCTTATTAGATTGAAAATTGAACCGATAACCCTTTTGCTCTTCTTTTCTATAGCAACGATGGAGGCTCCTTGTTTGGCAGTTATTATAACAAACTCTTCTATTTTCTTCATAGACCCTTCACATTTTGTAACCCCTGCTGCCACGCATGCGGCCTCGTTCGGGATGCAGGCTCTTCTTGTCACTTCTATGGCTCCTTCGAGGAATTCGGAAGTGAGGGATACAAACTCAATGGTACCTGAAATGCAATTCGAAAAAACCTCACTTTTCCGGTTGGCACCTAACTCTGAGTATTTTCAGTGGCGTAACCTAATATTTTGCCCCCCCCCCCACCATAATTATTTAGGACTCCCAAAGAAAACCCAAGGAAAAATAAAAGATTTGAAAAAAATAAGCAACGTGCAAATTGGAAAGTCGTTTCAAATCGAACAAATCACATCGAAACAAGTGAGGTAGGTACGTAGTTTTTGAAAGGTATCAGATTAGTGGAGATGTAGTTTTCATTAGGTATTAGATTAGTATAGAGGTCAGATAATTTATACGACGCTACAAAAGCAGATGATATTTCATCATTGCTCATGTAAGATGGAAGTAGAGGCCATGGCACCATATCATCATGAGCATATATTTATATTGAAACTATCATTGGGCACCAAAGATGTGTATACGACGCTATGGAAGTTCAGAGAACTGGAGATTTTTCCCACAAACTACGTACTTAGCCCACTCGACTGTCTTGGTTTTACCACACAAAATACGTACCTAGCCCACTCGACTGCTAATAGGGACTGAAAAAACAAAAACAAAAGAAAGTTAAAACTTTGCCAACATATTTCTTCTTTGTGGGAAATCAAGACAGTCGAGAGAGCTAGGTACGTAGTTTATGGGCAAACAATTAAGACAGTCAAGTGAGCGTACCTAGTTTATTGGCGAAAAATAAAGACAGTCGAGTGAGCTAGGTAAGTAGTTTATGGGAAAAAAATCAAGACAGTCGAGTATGCTTTTTTTACTTTCTTTTGTTTTTTGTTTCGTTTTCTATCGGCAAGTGATTATCTAGGAACTTGTAAATTTTTTAGTTTTTTCATCGTATCTCCCGAACTATTGAATTCAGAGAAAAATGTTAAGAGGATTTTTTGTAGATTCTATCAAAAGGAATAATTTTGGTTCTTTAACATTTTCAGATATTTTCAGTTGTTTTCGAAATATTTGGAATTATCTGAGAATAAAATTTTCAACACTTTTGTTCCATCTTCCAATCAACGAAAGGAAAAAATATTTCATGGTTCAGTTGATGTCGATGAGATTCATCTATCGATAATCTTTGTTTTTCAATATATCTTCATGGTACCCTATGGGTCGTTCAAATTTTTTTTTCATATTTTTTACTTTATTTCCTGTACTATTGGGTTTACAGAAAAAATTTTGGGTAATAATTTGTAGGAAATGTTTCAGTGGATAACTTTGCACTTCTGATAATTTTCGATTTTTCCATTTGTTTTCGATATAGGTATATTGAATTGAAAGGATTTCGAATTTTGATGTTTTGATTTTCATTTGTTTTTCCATTTTCTGATGGATGCAAGAAAAAATGGTGATATAATAATTTGTTGCGTCATCGAAGAAGCATACGGTGCATTTTTCAAATTTGGATTTAGTCTATTGGTTCAGGAGATATGTCGTTTTAAAGGGAACCGTGTGTTTCGGAAAATCTCCTTGAAAAACCCCATTGGAATTTTCCGACCCTGCTCAATTTCAATAGGCTTCGTCTCTCCCTGATAGAGTTTTTTTTCACAAAAAATGAAATCGATCGGACCACTTTTGCGATTTGTAGAGTGGTTACAAGAAACTTCCGGTGAAAAATCGAAAAAACCCGGAAAAACCACCTTAGAGTTTTCCGATTTCCTTCATATTTTAATGACATAATATTGTTTTGAGTACAATAAGATGGCAAAATTTCAAGTCGATATGTCAAAGGGTTCCGGAGATATATCGATTTATGATTAACACAGAGTACAGACAGACAGACAGACCACACACAAAAACCAAAGTTGCTCAAAATTCGATGGGGATCATTTTCTCCAAAGTAACTATACCTCTATCTCGCTTAGTTTCCGAGATAGCATTTTTGGCAAGGCCGTAGTATACTCCACTATGTATAGCGTCGTATAACAAGCATAACAAAAAAATTAAACAAACGAAAAAACATCAAATGTAAATAATTTACATATACAAGGTGGTCTAAAAGAAGTCATCCGATGTTGTTTGGCTCTCATTTTTTTTCTAAATGAAAAGCTTCGATTCTGTTTTTTGATTATGTTTATTTGAACCTTGAGAATTTTATTGGTCAAGTCGAGAAGATGATATCGGCCAAATGGGCACCGCCACAATTGATTGCTATACGGGCTCATTTTATGGCACTTTTCATCACTTCGGCGAGAACTTCGGGTGACAGATTCTCGCACTCGTGTCGAATGTTGTCCTTGAGGGCTTCCAGGGTCTCGGGCTTGTTCAAGTAAACACAAGACTTCGAAAAACCCCACAAAAAAAGTGTGGGACGGTTAAATCGGGCGATCTTGCGAACCAAAGCAAATCGCCAAAACGAGAGATGAGGCGACCCGGGAACGCCTCGCTCGCGCAGTGTGTGCCGTTGCTCCGTCCTGTTGGAACCACATGTCCTCCAGTCCTAATTCGTTCAATTGCGGCAGAAAAAACTCGGTTAACATGGCCCTATAGCGCGCACCGTCCACTGTTGTCATGCCAGCGGCGTCCTCGAAAAAAATGGCCCGATGACTCCTCCAGAGTGAACAGCGCACCATGCAGTCACTTTAAGCGGTGTAATGGCTCCTCGTGCATCACTCGTGGATTTTCGGTGCCCCAGAAGCGATAGTTCTGCTTGTTCACGTACCCGCTGAGATGGAAATGAGCCACGTCGCTCATTATGATTTTGGTCGAAAAATCGTCCACCTCGTCCATGAGATTGAGGATGGCTTGGCTTGGATTATTCCGCGTTCTTGGGGAGAGTATCGCTCCATGGCTTGTTCACTTGTATTCTACATCTGTCTAGTTCACAAATGTCAAAACAGGGTGATTTCTTTTGGCCCACCTAGTACATACAACATATACCTACAGTTCTGACTAGAACTGTTATATTTTTTCTTATTTTTTAATCAATTTATTTCATTTTGCCCATATTAGCAGTTTCCTCAGCCACTATAGGGAGTATGGTGATTATTTTCAGTTTCGTGAAAATTTTTCCAGAAGACACAACTCTCATAGAAAGCGTTACATACAGGGTGGAGACTTCAACTGGAATAAATTCGCTACTGGGGAATGAATGATTTTTCTGGAAATTCGCGAGACACTTCAACGTTTGAAAGTATTTACCTACATTTGGCGAGCAAAATGGTAGATATAACCCTTCAGGGGTAGCTGGAATCAACCCCAACATGTTTTTTTGAAATGCAACACTATGGCTTGCGACCCCTCATTAGAAAGCTGGTTGAAAGAGGAATTCACTTGAATTCAGCGTACTGATCATATTCCAGTTTGCAGTACGTTTGGTGGTCGCATAAATTCAAAATATAATTTCGAAGTTTCCTCCCTTCAAGCGTATGAAATACTAAAATCTGACTAGTACGCTATAGATTCCTCTTTCAACCAGCTTTCAAATGAGGGGTCACAAGCCATAGGATTACATTTGAAATAATCATGGTGAGGGTGGTTTCAGCTACTCCTGGAGGTATAAATTCTCGATATTGTTTGCAAAAGGTAGGTAAATACATTAAATCGTTGATGTATGACGGGGATTTTCTGAAAAAATATTCACCTCCCTGCTAACGAATTTATTCCAGTTATGTATAACAAAATGCTATTAAGAAGAATTATTTTCTTCTCTTACATCTTGCAAATATGTAAGTAGGAAGCGAATGTGGTGGTGCTCTATCTTGTTGGAATTCAATATTCATATTGATGTGTTTGTATTCAGGCAACTATTAAATGTTCCGCCATTTTGTAGTAGGTGAATATCTTGACTTTATATTCTAGGGTTGTGAAGTATTCGTCAGGAGCTTCAAGAATATCTATCACCAGACCCCCTTTTTCATTTATTTTTTCCCCAGATGTCAATTTTACTACAAAATATAGTATTCACGCATTAATTTCATTACCCCAAGTTTCAATTTTTTTCGTTGACCCGTTCAACAAATAAAAAGAGCACTGTATTTAATTAAAATGATAGTGTAACTTTTTTTATCGCTTGGAACGCACTAAAGGAAATCACTATAATGTTCGAGGAACATCGTGCGTACCTAAGAAGGATAGGGATAGGGACATAGGAGTTCGGTATTGGAATTTTTTTGTTGAACTTTTGGGGATTATAAGTTCTTGGAAATACTTCTTCAGGCAATGAATTCCAGAGCTTTACCGTTGTATATATACAAACGAGATTTGATGAAGTATGCTGTTCTACATAATATTTCGAGGTTGACAAGTTTGGAATTATCGAACCCTGGGTTACTGTTTCTTCGCTGCTGAAAGCTTCCCGGTGCAAGTGGACCTACCACTATAATATAGGTGGCGCCCCAGTAATTATTAATGATAATTGACTATCCCGAGCAATAGGCTTCAAAGGAAGCATATCAGAGTTGATATCTCTATAATTTTTGCCACTATGATTATGGTGATTGATAACCAAAAATAGTCTAGAAATAATGATGTGGTTCAAATTGGAAGCATTTTATTTTCTGATATAAAATAAATATTTCAAGATTTTTTTGAAAACTTTAACAATGCGCTCGTAAATGAAGTTGCATTTATTCAACTTATTGTGTCCTATATACTATCCAATATAAGCTCTTACCGTCCTCATTCGTTGCCCAAATTGTTGGTTTCATTTCTAAAATAATGAAATATCTTGTGCAGTCGCTCACTAATAATGACACAATGGTTACATATTCTCCCTTTTTTATAAAAAAATTATAACAAGCATAATTATGTTTATCAACAAGGTTTGATTCATCAACATAGCTGGCTTATCTGAGCTGAATAACCATTATAAATAATGACACTATTGTATCATTTTAGGTCTTGATGATTTCCAAAATAGGTAAAAATGGTGCGCTTTTTGTGAGATTTATTTAAAGGGCTTGAAATTTCACTATTAGAAACCTTGAAGAAAAATTCAATCGACAACTTGTTCGGAGTATGTTCGGACAATAACATGAACAATTGTATATTGAAAATTATGAAATTTCATTTATCTTTGGACGTATCGGAACCAAATCTGTTCCCGTTTTCAACATAAAATAGAAAATATTTCTCACTGACAAGTTGATTCAAAAAAGTGATATTCATCAGGATGTTTCAATTAATTCATCAATTGATCGTGTAGGTTCCATTGAAAATGGGATCTCATCATGATTTCTATTTATTATTGGTAGGATACCCTTTTTTTTAATTTAAAGTGCGGTGCAGCATGTTTGAAGTAATTAATCGATTATACCGTGTGGTGGTCGGATTAGAATAACCCCACGGTAAGTCCTGCCTGTCGTAGAAGGCGACTAAAAGGACGCCAATAGGTGGAAGATGGTTAACGCCATCGCCCGGTGCGATACCACCACATCAACCATAGGCACTGTGAAATGGGTATACTTACCCGTGTTTCAGTAGCTGGTTGATGTTCCGGCCAACCCAACCCAACCCAATTTCCTTTTCCTTCCACGCCAACCTACCTTCTTTATACAGAATACGCGATGATGAGTTCTCCTCAAGTGAAATTATCCGGAAGTAAAATACCTCTCCATTCGGATTTCCGGGCGAGAGGTGCTAGAGGGGGTTCACCATCGGCTCAAAAAGTCCTCAAGATAGACCTATGCAACATCCGAGGTCTAAGTAAGAACATCAACGATGTCCATCGACACCTTCAAATTGAAAAGCCAGACATATTGGCTCTTACTGAGACACAGGTCAATTCATCCACCAATACGACCTATCTGCTCTGTCCTGGGTACGAACTCCACACACGTTTCAGATTCAAGGGAGGTCTCTGCCTCTACTCTAAAACGAATCTCTCATGTCAACGAGAAAAAACTTTGGAACCAAATAAGTTTGATGTCATGTGGTTCAAACTCGATAGCCAGAAACAGACCAAATACCTTTGTTGTCTCTACTTATCACCAAATGATTCATCCTATGAAGAGCTCTTCGAATTCTTGTCTCTGAAGCTTGACCAAATTCAACAGAACCATCCAGCAGCAGAAATCATCATCATGGGCGATTTCAATGTACACAACACTGCTTGGCTCGTACACTCTAACAGAACGGATGAAGCTGGGCGACAAGCCGAAGCTTTCGCCATCACTCACGGCTTAGAGCAGCTTATCAAAGAACCCACACGAATTCCCGATGCCAATAACCATTCAGCTAACATACTTGACTTATTCCTCACTAATAATTCAGCACCCTACACCATAGATGTACGAGCTCCACTTGGCAATTCTGACCACACACTCATCTCCACAACCTGCCCATTTTTCATTCCATCAACTGCTCCGGCACCCCCACGTCTTATATGGCATTACAATTCAGGAGATTGGGACGGTCTCCGCATGTTTTTCTCCGAGTTTCCTTGGCATAGAGTATGCTTTGACTCTGAGGACCCTTCACAGTGTGCTGCGGAAATATCCGAGATCGTCATGCTCGGAATGGACCTCATTTTTCGAAAAGATCATCACCTTCGAAACCCTGGTTCAACAAAAACTGTTCTAGAGCTGTTGCCTTGAAACAAACAGCCTACCATCGCTGGCGCAAAAACCCTAACCTCGCGACTAGAGCAGAATACGTTGATGCCAGGAATAACTGCAGCCAAACAATAGATGCTTCGAAAGAAACATACAATGCCAAGATAAGATCGAAACTCATAGATTGCCCCAATGGCTCCCGTTCGTTCTGGTCCCTTGCTAAAGCGGTCGGAAGAAATTTCACTAATAGTTCATTTCCACCACTGTCCAAACCCGACGGCACATTAGCAACAACATCGCAGGAGAAAGCGAATATTTTTGCAGAGATGTTCGCAGCAAACTCTACTTTAGATTCCCAAGGAAAACTGCCGCCAGACATTCCACCCGTTGAGAGTCGAATGCCCGAAATCGTCTTCCGTCAACGCACTATCAGACGAATTTTGCTTGGTCTCAAAACGAATAAGGCTAACGGTCCTGATGGAATTCCACCCATTATCCTCAAAAAATGTGCACCAGAATTAACACCGATTCTCTGCAAGTTGTTTACCATCTTTTATAGGTCGGGTATTTTTCCATCATGCTGGAAGACAGCTAGAGTCCAACCAATCCCCAAAAAAGGGAACAAGAACCTGCCCAACAACTACAGGCCCATTGCCCTGTTATCAGTAATCTCCAAAGTGATGGAGAAAGCCATCAATATTGAGCTTATCAAATATCTGGAGAGCTCAGGAATCATCAATGATAGACAATACGGCTTTCGCCACCGAAGATCCACTGGAGATCTACTTGCCTACGTCACCCATTTATGGCAATCTTCAATAGAAAAACACGGGGAATCTCTAGCTGTCGCGTTGGACATATCGAAAGCATTCGACCGTGTTTGGCACGAAGGACCTCCACAAACTACCATCATACGGCTTACCACCTCAGCTATGCCATCTCTTATCGAGTTTTCTTTCAGGCAGATCGCTTCACGTGGTGGTGGACGGTGTATCGTCTGATACCATTGGCATCAATTTCGGCGTTCCACAAGGATCAATTTTGGCACCAACATTATTCCTGCTTCATATCAATGATCTGTGGGAGTAACAACTTGCCCCATCCACAGCTTTGCAGATGATAGTACCCTCCATACTGCGTTCTCTTCCAGAATTCCCATTTCTTCTCAGGAAACTAAGAACTCACGGCGCAGGCAGGTCAATGCTGTCAATGAAGATCTTGCTGAAATCACAGCCTGGGGAACGAACAACCTAGTTGAATTCAACGCCACCAAAACTCAAGCCTGCATTTTCTCTAGAAAGGCGGAACTCAGTATGCCCGATATTGTTATGTCTGGCTCCACCATCCCCACCAAGCCCACCATATCTATGCTCGGTATTTCCATCAGCAACACTCTTTCATGGGATAATCATGTCAGATCCATCGCAAAAGCTGCTTCACAAAAACTCGGATTCTTGTTCCGTGCGAAAAGCTACTTTACACCTCAACAGCTTCTCATGATCTACAAAGCGCAGATACGGCCTGTTCTAGAATACTGTTCCCACATATGGGGTTCAGCACCAAAACATACGCTGATGCTCTTAGATTCCATCCAGAGAAGAGCCATTCGCCTGGTGGGTGACGCCACACTCACTCACTCTTTGACATCATTGGAACACCGTAGAAAGGTCGGCGACCTTTCACTTTTCTATCGATACTTCCACGGGAAATGTTCTTCGGAAATCTCTGCAATCATCCCTCCACTAGCAATACCAATCAGACGAACTAGACAAGCCCAGTCAGCACATCCTTTCGTTGTCAACCTCGAAAGATGTCGAACAGCACTTTATCAAGACTCCTTCATCCATAGAACGGCTAGGCTCTGGAATTCATTGCCTGTGGAAGTATTCCCAACAACATATAATCTCCAAAAATTCAAAAAAAATTCCAATACCTACCTCCTGTCCCTATCCTCCTTAGGAACGCACGATGTTCTTTGAACATTATAGGGATTCCCTTTCGTGCGCTCCAATCGATAAAAAAAAAAAAAAAAAAAAAAAAAAAAAAAAATTAATGACACTTTATCATGGCCACTTTTTTCCCTACAAGTTGGCATTTGTTAATTTGAAATTCGACGTTTCGTCTTCCAAAAACCATCATCAGCTTATTTTTTTAAAACAACGGACCTGGGTACAGGGAGAGTAAATGTTCACCTAATGTTTTCTTTATGAATATAATATTCCGGTATACAATTTTCTTACCGAATCCCCCACGTGCCTGAATTAATTGCGGGAAATTTGTCTCATACAGAGTGACCCATTTGAAAGCGGGCCACCCCTGTATCTCACGTAATCGTTGGGTAAGGATCATGAAATTTGCTGGAGCGATCGAGAGATATACCAGAAATACACTCTATAACCAAGTGGGGTCATCTTCAGTGATATACACTGCTCGCCAACAGCCATGGAACCACCCCAAGGACCCCGCACTTTTAGTACGTAAAATGGTTCTCGGTGAAATTTTTTGAATTTTCAGTATGTTGTAGAATTCGATGAACTGATTGAACCTGCAGAATCGTAAAGTTCTTCGATGAACAGATTCTGAGATACAGGGCGTTGAAGTTACAAATCGGTATTTTTCATTTAATTATTTTCTCGAAATTCAAAGATGCCAAGTACAATTTTCTTCGCTCATATCATTAACGAACCTCCATATTACTCAACATGATTCAGATGGTTCAGATGATGTAATTGTTTACAGAGTGAAACATATAAACATTTCAGTGATGTCTGAAAATTCGATGTAATAATGAAATATCGAAAAAATAATTTAGGCATGCAATATACTATTCTCATTCCATCATGAATCACAATTCATACATTTCATACAGGGTGATTTGAAAAATTGGTGACACCTAAGACCGATTTATTCATACACATCCTGTATATTCGAGTGAATTGTTAACCTCCCAAGATAGCTGATACCGTATGAACATGATTTCGTTGAGATATATAGGGTGATAATGAAGATTTTCGATGATGAAAATGACAAAAAATCGTGTTTTTTGAAATCACCCTGTTATTCATGATTAACTCGGTGAAATTCCCTAATTATTTTTTAATATATTCATCATTCGCTCCTTAACGCTGTCTTGAAAATTCAGTTTCCTATCATGACGGGTGTCATAGTTATTAATTCAGGAACTTACCATTTGCATGAAGAGTTGAAGAGACTT